ACCACCAAAAGTCAGACAGACAAGGTGAGTGGCAGAGCATCAAAGAAAGGAACCAAAGTTATTTATACCATGGAGTAGTAAAATCAGCAGCCAGCATTTTGCAATGCTTCTCAGAATGGGAACAACACACCTATATAGAGGATTCTTAGGATGGAACTTGAATTTTCACAAATATAGAGACTAAGGACAAATATGAAACTAGAAAGTAACATCCCAGAAAACAAATGCTGTCAAGCAGGAAGGAGATGCTGGAAAGCCATGCAGATTGGATCAGTAGTTAAGAACTCTCTTCTGACCAATAGTTAAGAACTCTTATTATCTTTTCAGTACTAGTATATATGAAAAGATTCATTAAATGGCAAATAGTTCTTATTCCAAGGTGTGTTTTGTTGTTCTCAACAAATCTATCAGTTTCACAAAATCCTGAGTTGATTAAGCATTAAGCAGGTTTGGTGGACCCTACATGAGTTTTACAATAATAATTCCAAAACCCAGAGTGGAGAAAATCAGATAATCAGCACTGTTAACAAAATGCTTTCTTAACATAGCTTATTCCTGTCTAGGCATGTCGTATGTTTCAGAAGTCTGTGGTAATTCTATGCTTGTTATGACAACGGAGAGACACTTTTGCAGTTTTACCACCATGTAAGTAGAATGACATTTGGGGCAAAGATAAGGGAGACATGTCATGAGTAAGAAAATAGGTGCTGGTTCTGCAATGTCACTTGAGGACATTCTTGTGGCTTTTGACTTTTGGTTTAGTTTATTCCTTCTGGGTACTGTCTTTGCGTGTCAGGCGAGCTAGGATGTAATTGGTTTATATGGTTCTTACAAGTAATCAAATACTAACTGTAGTCGGTTCTGTTTTTGCTACCATAAGCCCCATACTTGCTCCTGCCATTAAGTATTTAAATGCCCCTGTGACCATGATGTAACTTCTCTAGGCCTGAGGTTCCTTATCTCAGGACATAACAGAACTTTGAATTTCATTAGATGCTATCTACGGTTCCTTATAACTCTATGATTTTACTTTGTAGTTCTAGGAAGGTATCTGTGTTTACGAATCTTAAGTTTATGTGACAAACTCCTGAGAAGGAGGAGCACCATATGTTCATTCAGGACAATACCTAAGACAAAAAGTAAATAAAACATTGATTTCATACTTCGGGAAGCCTGGAAGAAGGCCTTTCAGGGAAGCCTCCCTTCTCTTCTCCCAACTCCTTCCTTCCTGTTAGAAAAGGCTAATTGGTCACATTCCAGGCATCTCTGTGAACCATTTGCATTCCTGGATGGGGTCATCATGCACTGAATACCATATACATGGGTACAGCATGAATTCTTCCTAATTATACCCACAAGGCTTATCCTAGCTGTCTCTTGCATATTATCTTTCTCACTCATGCGGAAACAAATGAAAAACTGAGCTAGGTTCTGTTGGCTTTCTTGCCCTCTTCTCTCTCTTGAGCACTGAAGTTCTTCCTACAGGACTCCTGTCCTTTTGGTATCCCTCTTTCTGGAACATGAGAAGATCCTGGTATCCAAAAGTAGGCCACATGCCTCTATTAAGCACAGCAGAACATGGCATGGGCCTGGGGGATGGGAATATGAGGTTGAAGGTCCATGTGGGGTTACCATATAATATCTGGCAGCTCTACCTTAGTTATCTGCAACATGTTCTGTACAACATCTCTGTACAACGTATTCTATGCAACATTTCCCTGAACCAAAAGAATCATTTCATGATTGTGATCTGAACTGAAAACAGGTCCTGTTATTGGACAAAATTATAATAATTATGATACAATATTTCAGTATCAGCTCCAGAGGGCCAGCTCAACAATAGCAACTTACAAAGATTACTATTTAATCACATGTGAGCTGCTTCATTTATACAGTTGTGACAGCCCTGAAGAATGATTATACTCCTTACTTAATGGTCCCTACAATATCTTAGGTAATATCACTAGAAGTTCAAAATTCAACATATTTTACCCCTCAATATAAAATGTCTTGTATTTCACTTCAGAAAAGTAATTTTGGTATGCATCACATCACACAGCATCCAGATGCAAATAAAACAGTTGTTCTTCTTTTACATCTATGACTTTGTTTTTATTGAGTTAATACAGAAATCTAATTCTTTCTAATGGCTTAGGCTGGACTGCAGCAATTTCTATTCTTATGCAACAGAGTGGTTCTTTAAATACTTGGATATGTTTTTGCCATCTGAATTCTTATTGGTAAGAACCCAGAGCTTTGGGTCTGTTTTTCTCTTGCTTCCATAAAAGTTATAAGAGACCCACACTAATCAAGGTGCAAATTACGTTTAAAACTGCTGCCCAGAAACGGTGGGTCATGCCTGTAATTCTAGCACTTTGGGAGACCAAGGCAGAAAGACTGCTTGAGGCCAGGAGTTCAAGACCAGACAGAGCAACATAGCAAGACCCATCTCTACAAAAAATTATGTGCCTATAGTCCTAGCTAGCTACTCAGGAATATCACTTGAGCCCAGGAGTTCAAGGCTGCAGTGAGCTATGATCACACTGCTGCAATCCAGCTTGGGCAATAGAGTGATACTTTTGTCTTTAAAACAAAAAGAAAAATTACCACAGTCTTATGCATGTTGGCATGGGAATCTCTCCATCTATTTTGATGGTCTTTGCCCAATGACAGATTCCTTGGCCTCCACCTCAATTCAGTTTCAGGCCTTGCTGGCTTTCTTTATCTATAACCATTTGGAAATTTGACCAATTTTTAGCTACTTTGCCTCTCATAGAGCTTGGCTTTAGGTGGCTGTCTTCAGGCAAAAGCAAAGGGCAAGTAAGCCCATTGATGCAGCCCATATAGGTTCAGCCTTGTTGAGGGAAAAAACAGGGTAGAGAATGGTGGAGAGAAAGGAAAAATGGAAAGAATCCAGCACAAGGTAAAACTGAATGTTGAGAATTTTGCTCTTCTTTAGGTTTTCCCTCATTTTGACTCTGAAGCATCATTCTTTCACCCAGCAAATAGATCTCTTATAGCCTCATTCTACAGATTCCCCAGATAAGTTCAGACAGGTTGAAGTCCTAAGGTGACCACATTGAGTATACCAAAATGGGACCTTACCTCACAAAGTGGTGATTCCCAAAGGTATATTTTTCTGAGCATGAGAATTCTTGGCTCTCAACATGAATGAATTCTCTCTGCCTTTTACTCTTTCACTGTGAAGAAAACAACCAACATATATCCAAAGCCAACAGACAAATTGCCATGGTAGTTCCAAGATGGCTGTCCTATGGGTGTTCTTGAATGGCATGTAATTTTAGAGTAGTCTTTCTTTAATTTATTTGAGGACTATGTACAAGCCATTGTGTTAAATGTTATGGGTTACTATGAACTGAATGCTTGTGTCCCCTACCTCTGAATTCATGTGTTGATACCCTAACTCCCAGTGTGGCTATATTCTGAGATACAGCCTATAAGGTGGTAACTGAAGTTAAATGAGGTCATAAGGATTGGACCCTGATCTCATAGGAATAGTGTCCTTAGGAGAAACAACACCAGGGTGAGCACTCTCTCTCATGAACATGCGCTCTCTCTCTCTCTCTTTCTCTCTCTCTCTCTCTCTCTCTCTTTTCTCCTCCCCCCTCCCTCCCCACACACACAGAAGAAAGGTCATGTAAGGACATAGGAAAAAGGAAGCCTTCTGCAAGTCAGGAAGAGAGTCCTTACCAGAAACTAAATTGACTAGAACCTTAATCTTAGATTTCCATCCTCGAGAACTGTGAGAAAATTAATTTTTGTTGCTTAAGCTACACCATATATGGTATTTTATTACAGCAGCAGAGTGAATATAGAGGTATAACAAAAACTATTGCCCTAGAGAAGCTTACAGTTCAGAGAGAATGTACTCTGATTACTTTTTAGAGAATAGTTCCATTGGAGTGGAAGTGAGTACCTAAATAGTACCTAATATTAGGAAGAATAAAATGAGAGTTAAAAAGGTGTTGCAATAAAAATGCCTGTGAAGGTTCAGGGGAGAATAGTTAATTACAAGAATATGACAAAAGGTTTTAGAGAGGACAGAGCAAAAAAGGTTTTGGCTCTGTTCAGCTCGATATACCTCCTTAAACAGCCTGATATACCTCCTTAAATAGGTGATCCTGTCTCTATATTATCCACCATGTTTTGACATAGACTACCTACCTCATATTCAACAAACCTATGGTTTGCATTGAACCTACCCATTTTCCAGTCTTCTGACCACTGACTTTAACACTTGTTTTCCAACTTCTCCCATCTGAAAGATAGGATTCACAATAATATTTTCTTGGCCACAACACTGGCTCACATAAACTGGGCTTCTGCCTCCTTATGCTGGGAATTGAGCTCAGGATCAATTTTTACCTTGGTCTTCCCTGCTGACTTTCTCACTTGGTGCTACCATTTTCCTAGGTTTCTGCTGGACCCAGACAAGTTGGATCTTGAGAAAGGGAAATAGTTTAATGGGAAGAAAATGAAGTTTCAACATTAAAAATGAAATCAACATTAAAACCTGAGGAACAGCAAAAGCAAATACAAAAATCTTGAAAGAGTACCTTTTCATTAAGGAAAGAAGAATAATGTGTGATTGAAATTTTTGCATACTTTGTACTCTGTGTTCTGAAATCTGCAATCAGAGTGTCAGACGTTGTTGAAATGCCCACTATAATCTGTGAATTCTTAGTAGCTGTACTTCTTGTTTTGTTGACACAGTTGGTAAGAGTCTTCTGTTTGTGTATTGTGAAAAGTATTATTATTAAAAACCCTTCCTTTGATATTTGAACCACTTAGTAATACAATCTTAGTAATGAGAACTTTTATCTTAGCAATTCAAAATGGTCAAGAAATTTTGAAAGGGTTTATTGCGGGCATCACAAAGTGGTAGATCCTGTTCTATTACCTAAGAAATTTTTAAATTTATAGTGATAATAGGGTGATACAGATTGATGATATACATTTTTTAAATTTCATCTCAGTACTCCAAGATGGCATCAGTCATACCATTGAAGGACAAGAAACTTCTGGAGGTCAAACTAGGAGAGCTGCCAAGCTGGATCTTGATGCGGGACTTCAGCCCTAGTGGCATTGTCAGAGAGTTTCGAAGAGGTTACTACCAGTACTATAACAAATATATCAATGTGAAGAAGGGCAGGATCACGGGGATTACCATGGTGCTGGCATGCTACGTGGTCTTCAACTACACCTTGTCCTACAAGGAACTCAAGCATGAGCGGTGATGCAAGTACCACTGAAGAAGACAAGCTCTGTACTCCCCTCCACAACCTTCTTGGCTTGAGCCCCTCCATAAGGAACAGTCTCGACTATTGCTGAATCCTCTCATATCCTAATGGAATTAACCTCCAAATAAAAGGTGACTGGTATAAAAAAAATCATCTCTGAGCAATGACTGGTAGGGTTTTTAAATACTACTTTAAGCAATTAAATAATTTTCTTTTATGTTCTTAACCTAGGCAAACAGAGACATTGAAGGCCTTTAATACAATATGGATTTGGGCATGTTATGTTATTAAGGTTGTAATAGTATAGAGTTCTTTAACATCGTTTGTTGAGTAGTCTCTTAGCAACTGCATAAATTATTAAATCTTAAACTGCATTAATGGGTTTATAACATACTGATATGTGTGATGATAATAGCACAAAGGAAGGGCAAGAAATTAAGCTATATCAGAGCAAATTTTTATATACTATTAAAATTACAATGGTATTAATCTGAACTTGATTGCTAATGTTAAGATATTAATTACAATCTCCAAAAAGACCATTAAGAGTATTTCTCAAAAAAATATAGAAAAAGAAACAACGAGAGAATAAAAATTATATGCTGGAGAGGACTCAAGATGGCGTGGTGAGAACAACCCAGGATTGAAGCTCTCGGTGAATGCACAGAGAGGGTGAGTCAGGGCCGCATTTCTAGACTGATCTCAGTTGCCCACAAAAAAGGGACATTCCCAAATATAAAAGAGACGCGGGACACCAGGCAGAGGTTTTGGCTGGTGCAGCCGGCAGCTGGTACGACCAGTGGCTGGCGCTGTAGTGCAGCAGTGCTAAACAGCGCTCTGCATAAAGCGCATTGGTCTGGGTGCCCTGTTGAACTGGCAATCTGAGACTTCAGAGGGCTGAACTTGAGACTGAATGGGACTTGGACAGTGAGCCAGCCCAGGAGATTCCAGAAACACAGCGTTTGAGGTAGCGCAGTGGGACAAACAAAATGGCAATTCCAAACATTCCGGGTGGAGAGGTTCCCTGTGGGCACAGCCGAACCCAGGATGGTGTAGCTCCATGGAGGAGGGGTGTCCACCATTACCGAGGCAATCCGCCCCTCCTGAGGTACACGCCCATTGCTGATGCAGCCTGCCGTTGCCGAGGCAACCCGCCACAACAGAGACGCCACCGCAGGACATAGCCCATGGCAGCAGGGCAAAGACCGCAGCAGCAGGGCAGAGACTGCAGCAACAGGGCAAACCTCAAACCAGCAGGGTGGAGCCTCGGCAGGCAAATAGACTAGACTGCCTCCTAGCAGGGCAGGACAGCACAATGGACACTCACAAATAAAGCCCCAATCCCCCCACCGAGACAGAGCATCTGAGAAAAAAAGTTTTTTTTATGAGTTCTGCTGCAGCAGAATTAAATGTAGCAGCCTAACAGCCCTGAATGAACAAAAGAGCTCACAGCTCAGCACGTGAGCTCCTATAAAGTACAGACTGTCTCCTCAAGTGGCTCCCTGACCCCTCTATATCCAAAAGACTGACATTTGGCAGGCATCATTCCAGGACAAAGATAGCAGAAAAAGAAACTGGTAGCATCGCTCACTGTTGTGCAGCTGCTATAGCTGCACCCCAGACAAGCAGGGCCTGGAGTGGACCTCAGCAGTCCTACAGTAGAGGGGCTAGACTGGTAGAAAAAAAAACCAAGTAACAGAAATACTTCATCATGAACAATCTGGGCGTCCACTCAGAGACCCAATCAAAAAGTCAGCAACTACACAGACGACAGGTGGATAAATCCACAAAGACGGGAAGAAACCAGCGCAAAAAGGAGGAAAACACCCAAAACCAGAACACCTCACCTCCTAGAAAGGACCAAAACTCCTCACCAGCAAGGGAACAAAGCTGGACGGAGAATGACTGTGATGAAATGACAGAATTAGACTTCAGAAGGTGAATAATGAGAAACTTTTGTGAGCTAAAAGAACATGTTTTCAATCAATGCAAAGAAACTAAGAACCTTGAAAAAAAGATTTGAGGAAATGATAACAAGAATGAATAACTTAGAGAGGAATATGAATGAATTAAAGAAGCTGAAAAACACAATATGAGAACTTTGCAAAGCATGCACTAGTTTCAACAGCTGAATTGACCAAGCAGAAGAAAGAATATCAGAAGTCGAAGATCAACTAAATGAAATAAAATGAGAAACCAAGATTAAAAAATAAAAAGTGCAAGAAGGAATAAACAAAGTCTCCAAGAAATGTGGGACTATGTGAAGAGACCTAACCTACTTTTGATAGGTGTACCAGAATGTGACGAAGAGAATGAATCCAAGCTGGAAAATACTCTTCAGGACATTATCCAGGAAAATTTCTCCCACCTAGCGAGACAGGCCAACACTCAAATGCAGGATATACAGAGAACACCACAAAGATATTCTGCAAGAAGGGCAACCACAAGGCACATAATCATCAGATTCAACAAGGTTGAAATAAAGGAGAAAATACTAAGGGCAGCCAGAGAGAAAGGTCGAGTCACCCACAAAGGGAAGCTCATCAGACTCACAGCAGATCTCTCGGCAGAAACACTACAAACCAGAAGAGAGTGGGGTCAATATTCAACATCCTTAAAGAAAAGAACTTTCAACCCAGAATTTCATATCCAGCCAAACTGAGCTTCAGAAGTGAAGGAAAAATAAAATCCTTTGCAAACAAGCAAGTACTCAGAGATTTTGTCACCACCAGGCCTGCTTTAAAAGAGCTCCTGAAAGAGCCACAACACATAAAAAGGAACAACCAGTACCAGCCATTCCAAAATCACACTAAATGCTAAAGAGCATCAACATAATGAAGAATCTACAAAAACTAATGGGCAAAACAGTCAGCTAGCATCAAAATGTCAGTATCAAATTCACACATAACAATATTAACCCTAAATGCAAATGGACTAAATGCACCAATAAAAAGACACAGACTGGCAAATTGGATAAAAAGCCAAAAGCCATCAGTGTGCTGTATCCAGGAAACCCCTCTCACATGCAAGAATACACAAAGGCTCAAAATAAAAGGATGGAGAAAGATTTACCAAGCAAATGGAGAGCAACAAAAAGCAGGAGTTGCAATTCTCATCTCTGATAAAATAGACTTTAAAGCAACAAAGATCAAAAGAGACAAAGAAGGCCATTACATAATGGTAAAAGGATCGATACAAAAAGAAAAGCTAACGATCCTAAACATATATGGACCCAATACAGGAGCACCCAGATACATAAGGCAAGTTCTTAATGACTTACAAAGAGACTTAGACTCCCACACAATAACAGTGGGAGACTTTGACACTCCACTGTCAATATAGACAGATCAACCAGACAGAAAATCAACAAGGCTATCCAGGGCTTGAACTCAGACCTGGAGCAAGCAAACCTGATAGATATTTACAGAACTCTCCATTGCAAATCCACAGAATATACATTCTTCTCAGCACCACATCACACCTACTCTAAAATTCACCAAATAATTGGAAGTAAAGCACTGCTCAACAAATGCAAAACAACTGAAATTATAACAAACAGCTTCTCAGACCATAGTGCAAATCAAGTTAGAACTCAGAATACAGAAACCAACCCAGAACCGCACAGCTTTATGGAAACTGAACAACTGGCTCTTGAATGTTGACTGGGTAAACAATGAAATGAAGACAGAAATAAAGAAGTTCTTCGAAACCCATGAGAACGAAGACACAACATGCCAGAACCTCTGGGACACATTTAAAGCAGTCTCTAAAGGAAAGTATATAGCAATAAGTGCCCATATGAGGAGAATGGAGAGATCCAAAATTGACACCCTATCGTCAAAATTGAAAGAGCTAGAGGAGCAAGAACAAAAAAACTCAAAACTCAGCAGAAGACAAAAAATAACTAAGATCAGAGCTGAACTGAAGGAAATAGAGACACGAAAAACCCTTCAAGAAATTAATAAATCCAGGAGCTGGTTTTTTGAAAAGATCAACAAAATAGACAGACCACTAGCCAGATTGATTAAAAAGAAAAGAGAGAACAACCAAATAGATGCAATAAAAAATGATAAAGAAAAAATCACCACAAACTCCACAGAAATTCAAACCATCATCAGAGAATATTACAAACAACTCTATGCACATAAACTAGTAAACCTGGAAGAAATGGATAAATTCCTGGGCTCCTGTGTCCTCCCAAGCCTAAACCAGGAGGAAGCTGAAACTATGAATAGACCAATAACAAGGTCTGAAGTCGAGGCAGCAATTAAGAGCCTACCACACAACAAAAGCTCAGGTCCAGATGGGTTCACAGCCGAATTCTACCAGACACACAAAGAGGAGCTGGTACCATTCCTTCTAAAACTATTCCAAATAATCCAAAAAAAGGGAATCCTTCCCAAATCATTTTATGAGACCAATATCATCCTGATACCAAAACCCAGCAGAGACCCAACAAGAAAAGAAAACTTCAGGCGAATATCCATGATGAACATAGATGCAAAAACCTTCAATAAAATATTGGCAGGCTGATTGCAACAGCAAATCAAAAAACTTATCCATCATAATCAAGTAGGATTTATCCCGGGGATGCAAGGATGGTTCAACATACGCAAGTCTATAAAGTCATTCACCACATAAACACAACCAAAAACAAAAATTACATGATTATCTCAATTGATGCAGAGAAGGTATTTGACAAAATTCAACAGCCCTTTATGCTAAAAACCCTCAATAAACTCGGTATTGATGGAACGTATCTCAAAGTAATCAGAGCTATTTATGACAAACCAACAGCCAATATCATACTGAATGGGCAAAAACTGGAAGCATTCCCTTTGAAATCCAGCACTAGACAAGAATGCGCTCTTTCACCACTCCTATTCAATATAGTACTGAAAGTTCTAGACAGATAAATCAGGCAAGAAAAAGAAATAAAGGGTATTCAAATAGGAAAGGTGGAAGCCAAATTGTCTCTATTTGCAGACGACATGATA